AGATACAGAAAGAACATTGGACAAGACCCTGACATTCAGTTACAGTTTTCAAAAAAAAAAAAACAAAAAACCCTCTATGCAAACCAGGAATGATGAGAACTGCCTCGATCTGATAAAGTCTATCAGTGGAGAAACCATCAGGTAACATCATACTTCATGATGAAAGACTGAAAGTTTCCTTACAGGATTAGACACAGAACAGGATACCCATTTTCCCCACCTCTTTTTAGCATTGTATTATAGGTTCTGGCCATTGTAATAAGGAAGAAAAAAAGAAATGAAAAGTAGATTAGAAAGGAAGAATTAAAGTGTCTTTATTAACAGACAGCATGATCATCTGTGTAGAAAATTCAGTGGTGTCTACTAAACAAGCTACTAGAACTTTTAAGAGTTTAGCAAGGTTGCAGGACACAAGGACTATATGCAAAACACAACTTTTTTTTAATATTTTTAATGGAAAATCAAAATTAAGATTAAAAAATATCACTTATCATAGCATCAAAAATATGTAGTTACCTATGGATAAATTTGACCAAAAATGTGAAAGACCTATACACTGAAACTTACAAAACATTGCTAAGGAAAGTTAAAGAAGACTTAGCAAAACAGATATATCGTATTCATGAATCCGAAGACTTAATATTTAACTGTCTGTTCTTTCCAAAGTGATCTACCCATCAAAGCAATATTTATCATGATCATACCATGCTTTTTTGCAGAAGTTGACAAGCTGGGGGCACCTGGGTGGCTCAGTTGTTAAGTGTCTGCCTTCAGCTCTGGTCATGATCCCAGAGTCTTGGGATCAAGCCGAGCATCAGGCTCCCTGCTCAGGGGGAAGCCTGCTTCTCCCTTTCCCACTCCCCCTGCTTGTTTTCCCTCTCTCGCTGTCTCTCTCTCTCTCTCTGTCAATTAAATAAATAAATAAAATCTTAAAAAAGAAAAAAGAAGAAACTAACAAGCCGATTCTAAAACATATGTAGGGGGGCGCCTGGGTGGCTCAGTGGATTAAGCCTCTGCCTTCGGCTCAGGTCATGATCTCAGTCCTGGGATCGAGCCCTGCATCGGGCTCTCTGCTCAGTAGGGAACTTGCTTCCCCCCTCCCCTCTCTCCGCCTGCCTCTCTGCCTACTTGTGATCTCTGTCAAATAAATAAATAAAATCTTTAAAAAAAAATATGTGAAAATGCAAAGGATTAAAAGTCAAATTTTGAAAACGATGCACAAAATTGGAGAACTTAAACTACCTGATTTTTAATACTAATTATAAAGCAACAGTAATCAAGACAGTGTGGTATTGGTGTAAAGATGGACATACAGGTCAACAGGACAGCATAGAGTCCAGAAATAGACCCACACATATATGGTGGAATGATTTTCAGTAAAGATGCCAAGGCAGTTAATGGGGGAAAGGATAATGTCTTCCACAAATGGAACAATTGGATTGCTAAAAAAAGAAAAAAAAAAAGGCAACTTCACGTTCAGCTCATACCACATACAAAAATTAACTTGAAATGGATTTTAAACTTAAATATAAGAATAAAAACTATAAAAATTCTGAAAGAAAACAGATCTTAGTGACCCTGGGTTAGGCAAAGTTGTCCTAAATAGGACATGAAAAGCACAATCTATAAAAACTTAAAAATGAATAACTTGAACTTCATTAAAATTAAAGCTTATTCTTCAAAAGATACCATTATTAAAATGAAAAGGCAAGCTATAGACTGAAAAAGAAATACTTGCAAAAATTACATCCAACAAAAATTTGTATTTAGAATATATAAAAGATTCTTGACACTTAATAATGGGACAACCAACCCAACAAAAATGGACCAAAGATTTGAACATATACTTCTCTAAAGAGGATATAGAGATGGCAAATACTCATATGAAAATCTATGCAACAGTGTTAGTTGAGTTTATTTTGCAAAATAAAACCACAGTGAGACAATTACTACACCTTAAAAGAATGGCTAAAATGGCCAAGTGTTGGTGAGGATGTGGAGCAATTGGAACTCTCATAAACTGCTGTTGAGAATGTTTAAGAAATAAGCACATGTCAACCATACGACCCAGCCATTCTCCTCGTAGATGTTGACTGAAGAAAAATAAAAGCGATGTCTACGTAAAGATCTATATACATGAGTGTTCTTGGCTACTTTATTTGTGATAGCCCAACACTAGAAATAACTCAAATCCCTACATCAGGTAAATGGATAAATAAACTGTGGTATATCCATGGAATGAAATACTATAAAAACGAACAGCTATTGATATGCACATGAACATGGATGAATGTCAAAATAATTATGATGAGTGAAAGAATCTAGACAGGGGGCACCTGGGTGGCTCAGTCAGTTAAGCGTTTGCCTTCAGCTCAGGTCATGACCTCAGGGTCCTGGGATCAAGCCCCGCATCAGGCTCCCTGCTAGGCAGGGTGGCTGCTTGTTCCACTCCCTCTGCCTTTGCCCCTCCTCCCTGCTCATGCTCTGTCTCTCTTTCTCTCAAATAAATAAATAAACTCTTAAAAAAAAAAAAAAGAACCTAGACCCACAAGAATACTCCATTTTAATGAAATTCTAGAAAACACAAACTGAAATTTTTGAAAGATTAATGATTATATGGGGCCAGAGGATTTGGAGAAGAACGAATTAGAGACACTGGAAAACTTTAGAGAGGAACGTGTAAGTTCATTATCTCGATGGTGGTGGTGGTTTCGTGGAAGCATACATATGCGAAAATTCATCAAGCTGTTCATCTTAAATATGTGCTTTTTGCCTGTTGTTTCTTAGTACAACTCAAAACAGGTAGGGGAGACCATATCACTCAGAACCATGCATGTCATAACACCCAGAGAGCCTGTAAGAATGTTCTAGACTATCATCACTGAATAGAACTCACTATCATGAAGCAAATGTCCAGTATGTGCACCACCCAGTACAGTCGTCAGAAGCTACTGTGGCTTTTGAATACTTGAGATGTGGCTGGTGTGACTGAGGAACTGGATTTTTAATTTAATTTTCTAAAAATATTTATTTATTCATTCATTCATTTATTTATTTGAGAGAGCGTGCACACGCTTGTGGGGAGGGGAGGAGCAGAGGGGGAGGGACAAGCAGACCCAGAGCCCAAAAAGGGGCTAGATCTCATGACCCCAAAATCATGAGTCTGATGCCTAACTGAGCCACCCAGGTACCCCTAATGTAATTTAATTTTAACCCATTTTGATTTAAATGGCCACATTCGACACATGGTTCTAGCTTAATGGAAGCTAAGCATAAATGAAAACCAACTATATCTCTGACCCTATACTGGATCCTATTAATGGAGGAGTAAAAACGCTATAAGCAGCCCAATTAGATAACTCGTGAGACTAGAATATGGATAGTGGATTAAAGTATTATATCAATGTAGATTTGTGAATTTTATAACTATACTATGGTTATACAAGAGAATATCCCTTCCCTTAGGAAGCTCACAGTGTATTGAATGAAAAAAGACCAAGATGTATGTAACTGACCTCAAGTAGTTTGGAAAGATGAGCAAACGATAAAGTAGATGGGTAGAATTTTAACAATACGCAAATCTGGATAGAGTATACGGGTGTTTCTTGTACTTATATCCTTGTATTTTTATGTTTGCTCCTTCTTGTAAATTTAAAATTGTTTCCAAATTAAAAGCTTTAAAAAAATACCTTATATGTGATTATGATATTTTAAAAAAACTTCCAGTCTTTTTGAGGGCCTGGCTGGCTTAGTTGGTGGAGCACGCAACTCTTGATCTCAGGGTTGTGAGTTTGAGCCCCACATTGGGTATAAAGATTACTTAAAAATAAAATCTTAAAAAAAAATAAAGAGTTCCAATCTTTTAAGGATATGTTATGAAGTATCTATGGACAAAATGATAGAACATCTGGGGTTTGTTTCAAAGTAACATGGAATCCTAATATAGGAGAAACAGATTGATTCTCTTGAAGCTGAATGTGGTGTACATGAGTTTATTATACATTTCTGTCCCTTTTTGTGTACGTTTAACATGCCATGACTTTAAATTGGGAAGAATTGGCATTCACTCAATGTTTTTCCTTTTAAGGATATTGTGTGCCTTTCTCTTACTCATTTTGTTTCCTATGGTACTGGCTGGGAAAGCTCATTTATACCAAATGTTTCATTTTGAAAGTGATATCCTTAGGTCACGTATTCCTTAATGCAATAAAAATCCTCATCACAACAAAAATATTTCTTTTATGACCCCGTCAGTGGCCAACTATTTCGAGCAATTTTAAGCAGTGGGTCCAATTCCCATGAGAGCAAAAAACTTTGATCAGACCCCTCCATAGAAGCCATTTTAATTATCTAAGAATGCTTATACAATTAAAACCCTATTATAAAAAATTCCATGTAACCTTGTTTTTTCTTGATGTTTTGGTTTGAATTAATCTAGAGATCATGTTCTCCGACTGGGAAGGCTTGAGAAAAGCTAAGTGAAGAGGAGTCCGGTGAAATAATGAGAGCAGTACTTTGCTATCGGAATATCTGTGCCGTTCACTCCAGTTTCCCAGGATCTGACTTTGTGTCCTGTCATTTGGCTCAGTGTCTGAGGGATTTAAGTGGTTTGGAGTTAGGCTTTGGGAAGATTTCATTGTTTTAATTGCATAAATTCCATAAAGCATTGAACTAAGCTCTCTCTTCCCAGCCTGTGATACAACAAACAGATGCTCCATCACACTCTTCTATTTCAACGGCTCTTACATGAACCAAGACAAGGAAAGCATCTTCACAAATTCATTTGCTGCATAAACATTTTGTAACATGCCAAGAAAGTTCTCGCTGGGGGGCCATATCTCTAAACATGGAAATAGCTTTATTGAGAGATCCCTTCATAGCAGGAGTGTTTGAGGTTACAGGAATTCATCTGTTTAGGTAAAGTGAAGACTGAATATCTCTCGGTTTTCCTGTTAGGCTTATTGTTTCGTTCATCATTATTATGATTTTTCTTTCTCCAGAGATAGACTACTGTGCCTCGTCTCGTCATGGATGCCAGCACGAGTGTGTTAACACGGATGAGTCCTATTTCTGCCGCTGCCTAAAAGGTTTTATCCTCAATCCAGACAAGAAGACCTGCAGAAGTAAGTCACCCTGGGTGTGGAAGGGCTTGTTCCCTCAATGCCCCGCTAATTTTCCTTGTCCTTGCAAGTTTTAAGCAGATTTACTTGTACTTAGCATTTGTGTTCACGAACGCTCTTCTGCCCTTGAGTTTACCTTTTGTCATCCCTGATTCTGTGATGGGGATGATTTCTAGAGACTGAATAGCCCCACAACATGTATTTGGGACTTGTCTGAGCCCAGAGACAGGAGGTAAAAGAGGTTAGTTTCTTCCCGTTATACCAGTTGAGATATCTGATGGTTGCTAAGGGGGCGGAAATTGCTGCTCTATCCTCTTTGACGTGAAGGAAGGAAAAACTATGATTCTGGGGCATCCCTGCAGGGTTCAAGAGGTACATGGTGTCAACAGGCTGAAATGAATCAGATGCTGCGTGGCAGCTGGTGCATAAGGGGGTCTAGAGTATTTCCCCAAATGGGATCTCTTTAAACCAGACTGTCCCTGAGAAACCACTAGAACGGAAGATCAACAAGGACAGAGAGGCTTCTCGCTCTCCCACTCTTGAATCCTCAGCTCCCCGAGGGCTTGGCACATGGAGGTGTAACACAAGACTTATCGAGTGGATGATTGAAGGAATGAGTAAACGGATCTCTCTGAGATTTATCATCCTGAGAAATTGTCACTGTTATTTGAATTACTCAATCTCTTCAGAAAGATGGCCCTTTTAAGGCGTACAGATTGTGAACTTTTTAAAGAAGTATTTCCGTAGTCAGTCGACACTGAATTGCTCATGTTCTCCTGGCAGTCTCGTTTACGGAACTTTCTGGAGCCCCACTTAGGGGTGTATGTTCTCATGCACTTATTCCCTTGCCTCTTCCTGGCGACATGTACAGCAGGGCTCTGCATTGCAGGCAGGACTGAATTTTCAAAAGTTTGACCATGAATTTGTCTTGAAAAAGCCCTGTGGGCTATTGAACTGAATCCAGACAGGGCCCATTCTGCTCCCAGGACATATGGACTTAGCCACTCACTCTAATAAGCATTAGACCTTGTATGGTGGGAGATGGTTGCAGAGCCCATGGTTTGAAACTGAGCCTCTCTCAAAAGAGGTAATTCCCACAGTCTTGCCTAGATCCAAGCCCTGGAAACATTTGAGCATTATATAAGAATCTGCACTGAGAGCATTCAGAATGTGAAAACAGTTAGGTGGAGTATTTTCCATTAGACCACACATGCGTTCATTATGGTGAAGGGCCAACTTTTCTGGCCAGGCCACTCCTCTCTGCTGTTTACACCTTTTTCTAGGGATAAGTGTGTCCGTGGCTAACTATACCCAGGGAAGATCAGTCCCGGGTGGACTCCTTCGCAGACCAAAAGTTCTTATGTAGGGGATCATTAGATCTGGTTCAACTCAGGCCCACGTTGTGGTTGCCAGCTTCGTGTGTGTTACTAATGGAGGGAAAAGGGAACAAGTTAGAGATACCGCCATCAGTACAGAGGAATTTGCTTGAAGCTATCATCTCTTATTTATTTATTTGAGAGAGGAGAGAGAGAGAGCAAGCAAGCGCGAGTGGGAGAGGGAGAGAGAATCTCAAGCAGATTTACACTGAGTATGGAACCCTGAGATCATGACCTGAGCTAAAAGCAAGAGTCGGCCACTTAGCTGACCACACCACCCAGGAGCCCCTGAAGCTCTGCGTCTCTTATCAATCATCTAGGATTCCTTCAACCTCTGCCGCTCCCCCACGTCCTGCCTGGAGAGTGACTCGGAGTAAGAGGAGGGTCTAAGGTGGTGGACACATGCATTGTCATCAGGCGAGGAGGGCGGTCAAGAACAGAAGCGCGAGTGGAGAGGAGGTGACCGTGGGGAGTAGTCTGACCACCACAGAGGTGCCCACAGATGGGCCTGTTTCCAGGCTGTGGCCCAGTCCAGAGTCTCTAATGCTGGCTCATTCCTGTTTAGCAATTGCAGCTCTATTTTCTCTAGCCAGGTGTCCTGCTTTTTCATCCAGGAAAAATGGAATTTGTTTCTAAAACCCCATATCCTCACCAGTCCTTCTCCCAACACCCTCCCTCATTGTTACATTTTCCATTGTCTGTGCAGACCCAGCCCTGGGCTCGGGAGGTCAGCCTCTCCCCTGACTGAATGTTTGCACTCTGTCTATTATGGCAGACAGCTGTTAATGGAAGTAAGCGCTCCCTGTCTCTCTGGGGCATTATGTGGAAGAAGGAAACAAGAAATTCAATTTAAATCTGGAGTTTGTTATTAGGAGTTTGAAGATCTAAACAGCATTATGGACCTCGAGCTCAGGGTACAGCCATTTGCATTTAATTGATGGTGGATGGATATGGGCGATTTTCAAATCTAATAAGAAATCTGTTTTTCCAAGGAATTTGATGTCATCCAATTAAGGTGGAAAACAAAGTTCTGTTCAAGACAGAATCCTACTGAAGAAAACTCTCTTGGCTGGGCTTTCTTCTTCCTCCTCATCTGGGCCCAATTCCTTTTTCTAGAAAGTACCGTCATCATTTTAAAGCATAAATTATTAAGGCGGTGGTGCAAAGCGCAGAAACTGGGACTGGCCTGGCTGTTGAGGTGGGGCCTGCGGGTAGAATCCTTTGTGGGTATGATCTGTGTGCTGGGCTCCAGGATGGCTCATGCTGGCACCAAGGCTGTGCTCGCCGTTGCTCAGAGACATCATACTTGAAGAGCTGGGATGGCGTCCACGGGTTGGACAGAGCTGGGAGATGTGATGGCTGGTCTTAGCCATGTCACTCATACTGCTCCTACGACCCTGAACATACTACTCTCTTTCTCTGGACCTGGATTTGCTAAACCAAAGGACATCCTGCTTTAACATCTGGTAGCCTGTACAATTTTTCTGAAATGTGCTCTCTGTGCCAGCCACTCCATGAGCATTATAATTCACCGCCTGGGGTACCCACTCTTTCATGTTTTTATGTTGTACCTTCTCAGCAAAGTCTCCAGCTTTCTTGTGAGTTGGCCCCCATGAGCTCTGTTTAAAATGTTTTGTCTGACGGTCCTGCCAACTGACCTCACATGGGCTTCACCAGGTAAAGCTACCCTCCAGCCCGGCCTGTGTGTAGCACTTACAGTTAGCGAGGAGACTGAACCAGATCTGGGCCACATAGTAGGTACTCAGTAAATACTGATGAAGTGATGCACATGTGAAGAAATGTAACTCAAGCACGTAAAGAAGGCCAAGATCCACGGTTAAACCTTTGCAGTCAGGAACCCTTTGGAGAAGAGCTGCCTTGCTGTTTGCCAGATCGCTGAGTGATAACATCTTTAAGACTCTGAATGATTTTCAGTTTAATTATTTCATATGTAAATCTTTCCTAAAAATAATGCTGGGGGGAGTGCCTGGGTGGCTCAGACGGTTGAGTGTCTGACTCTTGATTTTGGCTCTGGTCAGAATCTCAGGGTCCTCTCATGGCTCAGCAGGGAGCCTGCTTGAGATTCTCTTCCTCTCCATTGGCCCCTCCCCCCACTTGTGTGTGGGCATGCTCTCTCTCTGTCTTGCCTCTCTTTCAAATAAGTAAATAAATCCTTAAAAAATGAGAGAGAGAGAGAGAGAGATTGCTGGTTTTTAAGAAATTGTGATAAAATATACATAACATAAAAATGACCGTTGTAAACATTTTTAAGTGTACACTTCAGTGGCATTAAGAACGTTCCCATTATTGTGCAATCATCCTTAAACTACAGAACTTTTTCATCTCTCCAGATTATACCCATTAAACAATGACTCTCCATTCCTATCTCCGCCTCCCAGCTCCTGGCAACCACCATTCGATTTTCCATGTCTCTGAATTCGCCTGTTCGAGTTACCTCATATAAGTGGAATCATATAATATTTGTCCTTTTGTGTCTGACTTATTTCACGTCCCATAATGCCTTCAGGCATCATCCACAATGTAGCATATCTCAGAATTTCCTTCCTTTTTGAGGCTGAATTCAAGTCCCTGCTTTTGATTCTTTTGGGTAAATACCCACAAGTAGAATAATTCTCTATTTAATTTTTTGAGGAAACTCCATACTGCTTTCCATAGTGGCTGAATGCTGGCTTTTTAAAATAGCATTTACCGAAAACAATTTGACCTTTCTTTGAATGTGTTAGGAAATGATTCCTGCAGACCCTCGGCTATGTGGCCCCAGACTATAGGGCTCTTTGTACTCTGTGTCTCTTTGCTTGGTTGTTTTTTTTTTTTTTTTTGGTCTGTTTGTATGTGGCCAATGTTTTATTGACAGGCCCCTTTTTCCTCACTGAAGATCCTTGCTTGTTTCCCAGCATTCAGTTCTGTTCCACACAGGTAAGGTTGTTGATGAGTTCCGGGCTGAAACCATGCTCAGCTCCCCTCACACAGAAGCGATGAGTTACGGAGTGTGCCAAGGGGTCAATGACGCTTGTGGTGGTTTCTCTCCTCTCAGGGCATTCCCTGCGTGTGGAGAGAATGCTCTCTGTGTGCTCCGTCTGCAGCCACTTCTGCTCAAACTCTGTGCCCTTAGAAAGTTCCACCCACCAGTCACCTGGGAGGATGCATCATAGCCCCTTGAAGGGATGGTTGCCAGGCTGGCTTAGATCAGTCATGACTCATGCCTTGGGGGTCAGGGTTCAGTGCCAAGAAGACAGGGAAATGGTTGTTGTCAAGGCAACCAGCAGTGTCTACTGAAAGAAAGAACAATGAGTTAGACAGCTTCAGTTCAGCCACTAATGTGACATTCTTCCAACACCAGTCTCATGAAGGCCCTCCATGAGGTCATTTGATTTCCCTGTTCTCCATCTCCCCTATAACCTGCTCTTTGTGAGGTCCTGTGATTCAGACATTTTCTACCAGGAAATGAAATGCTCTTTGGCTCCCAGTTATGATGCCACTCCCACCTAAGGGCAGAAACTGAGCTTGAATTGGGACAAATGTCTATACAGGACACAACTGCCACAACTCGGGGCAGCATCAGATGTGTCTTCTCCACTCTTTTGATATGGAGGCCACCATGATCTCACGTAGAGCGAGCTTAAGCCTTTGGACCCTTCTCAATGTAACTGCCCTCTCCTGCCTCCCCTAGAGAGCTGGATGTATTTTGCGCGATGAACTTTTGTTGGCTCCGCCTTGTGCTGTTCAATCTCATTGTCAGATATCATTGCTTTGAGCCCTAGTGATCAGGTTAACTGGAAGAAAAGACTAACTAGATTTTCTGGGTGTTTCTTTCTTGTGAAGGGACAGGCTAGGGATTATGGTCCTCAACTCATTTCACCAGCCTTTGGTCATCAAAAGGCAGAAAGACCCAAGCTGGAGGAATCCAGACTTCTGATCCCAGGTTCTCCTTCAAACCAGCTCCCGGAGAGCAAGAGCTGTCTTCTCTGTCCTGTAGAGCGCCTTGTTTACTGAGTATGTGCCGTGAGGGGCTGACCGCACAGCCATGGGAGAAGCTCAGAACCTTCAGGAGAGTCTGCCCTTTCTGCCCTCAGGGATCAACTACTGTGCCCTGAACAAACCAGGCTGTGAGCACGAATGCATCAACACGGAGGAAGGCTACTACTGTCGCTGCCGCCGGGGCTACACCCTGGACCCCAATGGCAAGACTTGCAGCCGTGAGTGTGCTGGAGTGGGCGGTTCGGATGGGAGGGCGTGGTTCACACGTATTCCCCGGGGCTCGCTTCTGAAGCTGCTAGGTCTCCTAAGGGCCTGATGGTCCGACAGGCTTACCTTTCCTTGCCTCAGTTTCATCATCCATAAAATGGGACATGCTACCCACCTCCAGGATCGGGTTATGAGGATTAAAAGAATCAATACGTATAAAGCACTTAGAAAAGTGCTGCTAAATATCCACAATAGCCAAACTAAGGGAAGAGCCCATCCATGGACAGATGAATGGGTAAAGAAGGTGGGGTATGTATACACCATGGAATATTACTCGGCCATCAAGAAAAATGAAATCTTGTCATTTGCAACGATGTGGATGGAACTAGAGGGTATTATGCTAAGCAAAATAAGCCAAATATGTCATAAGAGATAAGCAAAATATGTCAATCAGAGAAAGACAATTATCATATGATCTCACTCATAATTGGAACTTAAGAAACAAAACAGAGGATCATAGAGGAAGGGAGAGAAAAATGAAACAAGACTAAATCAGAGAGGGAGACAAAACATAACAGACTCTTAATCATAGGAAACAAATAGGGTTGCAGGAGGGGAGGGGGGTAAGGGGATGGGGTAACTGGGTGATGGACTTTAAGGAGGGCATGTGGTATAATGAGCACTGGGCATCATAGAAGACTGATGAGTCACTGAACTCTACCTCTGAAACCAATAATACACCATGTGTTAATTGATTGAATTTAAATTAAAAAAAATAAAAGTGCTGCTAAAACATCTGCACAAAAGCCCTGGTTGGACGGTCTGGTTACCCTTAATTTTCAGAGTAGGAAACTGAGGAAATGTTTCAAATTGCTACTAAATATTAATGAGCGCTCAATAAATATCAGCTAATATTAGTCTTCGCTGTTGAGAGCGCTGATTAAGCCAGACCTGCTGGAATCTAAAATCCAAGCACGACTACCTACCAGACATGTGTTCCCAGGCAAGGTATGTAACTTTGCTAAGCCTTGATTTTCCCAACTGTTTAAAGAAGTGACAGTAGTAGCAGTAATGATGTGCTTGAGTTTTTAAGGGGAATAAGCAGGACCATTTCAGTCTCTTAGCCTGGGCCTGGCACAAGGAAAACACAATGAAAGATCATCATTCATTATGACCACGGAGCCTGGGAGAGTGACCAGTGTGGCTGCAGGCTAGGACAAGGGGCCAAAAGGGACAGACCTCAGAAAGTACGTGGGCTACCACAGAGCTGGTCTGAGGGCGGAGCTGGGAAATATGGGACTTTTTGTGAAGCCTTTCTTAATTTTCTTGTGTAAGAGGCACAACAAATCTCCATTTGGTGATGTAAATGCATGGAAACTTGCAGGCTTTGCCAGCTGGAAGGTTCCATCATGGTTTATGAGGCACAGTCTCCACTGGTCCAGGCCAGTGGGGGGTTGGGGCTCATGAGCGCTGCCGTGGGGGCCTGTGACCCTGCTCCACTGGGAGAGGGGCTCCGTGACATGGCCCGGCACAGAAGGGGCCCTTTGTGCGGCTCTCTACCCGGCAGGCTGCACATCTGCTCCGGCTTTGTGGACAGAGCGAGATTGTGAATGAGAACAGAGCAGCTGTTGAACATTTGGACCTCAGACTGCCAGAAGGGGAAATTTCACAGATGAAGTATTAGGTATAGAGCAATCCTCAGGAAAACTTGTGCCCCTTCAGTCTGTAGAGGGAACAAAGTGCCTCCAGTAGGCTTTCTAAGGACTGATCTCGGAGGTCAAAGAACTTTTGAACCAGAAAGTTAGTGCTGCTCTGCACTTGCCTCTGGAAATCTCCGAGTCCTACTGAGAAGCCTGTGGGGAGCAGGGGATGCCCTGGTAAAGATGGATCTGGGTACATTCTGCCTTCTTCCAGGAGTGAGGGGTCAGCCAGCTGACCGCCCTGGCAAGTGTCCCAGGACAGACCTGGCACAACCTGATGGAGCCCACCTAGAGCCCTAGGGGCCATGCCTGTTCCTCTCTCCCAGCCTGCCTTGAGGGAACCTAGCAGGGCTCAGAATGGGCCCCAGAAGAGAATGGGCCATACTGTCTCTTGGATCAAATAAGAAAGACCGCTTTGCTTCAAGAGAGTATAAACCAAACCATTTCTTCCTAGGAGTTCTCAAAGAAGGCCATGGTAACCTGTTCCCCTTAAGTACTCAGGGAGCCCCAGCCCTAATGACAGCAAGCCCTTATGAGGTGCATACTCCTTGAGGCTGTGGTGAGTCCTTTCCAGGCACCCACTCACTCTATCCTCACTGTAGCCATAGGAGACATCTACAGCCTTATCCCTATTCAAAGACAAGAAAACTATGGCACCAAAGGATTAAGTAACTTTCCCAGCGTCCCATGACTGGTTCACGGTGGAACCAAGATGTGAATCCGGGCTTCTGGCCCCTGAGATCTTGCAAGAGTTTGCAGTAGGCGCATCCAATAGTGGAATGTTCCAGAAGGCACCATCCTGGGCCCTTCTGCGGAGCCAGAGGCCCGGCACAAGGCCTTCAATGTGTCTCCAGTCCCTGGATATGCGTTTTCTCCATCAAGGAAATCTGGGAGGCAGCCTGTGGGGCTGTCTGTGGGAGCCGCTCACCACAGCTCTGTGTTCACTGTCCTTTACTGCTCACTGCCCAGCGGGGCCAGCTGTGCTGGGCTCGGGCGCCAGGATCGGCCACACAGGCAGCCTGTGGCTCTGGGTTGTTTCCTGCATCTGGGTGTCCTGGGTAGGGGGGATGAAAACACTTTTTCTGTGTCATTTTCAGAGAAAAATGAAACTTTACCATTAGTTCTTTCCCAGCAATACTTAGTAAGCTTCCCCTCAGTGATTACCCTGTGCCAGCTCTAGTCTGAGGGCCGTACCTGTGTCAGGTCTTCTCCTCACCACGTTCCTCTAAGAAAGCAGCCGTCGTCATCCCCACTTCTCAGGTGGGGAAGCCCAGCATTGCCTGGCTAGGAAGTGGTATCAGTGGGATTTCAGCCCAGCTCGTGTGACGCCACCGCCCTCATTCTTAAGCTGTGTGGCTTTGGGCAGGCAGCTGGGCCTCCCTGAACCTCGATTTCCTCTCTGAGATAGGACTCACACCTGCCTGTGGCCCTGGGGACTGTAGATGAGGGCGCCAAGGCCCTGGCACAAAGTGCTGCTGTCACTAACCCTAACACGGGAGGTGTAGACACTTCACTCCTCAAGCACAGAAATGCGAGAACGAACAAACAAGGCTGAATTTCCAGAGGCCCGTTGCACCAGGTGGAATGGAACCTTCCAGCAGTGCTCTTTGTAATGCCAATGAAGTCAATAGCTCCTAGGACCCCATCCCTCCACCCCCACACAGGCGTAGGTGTTTTTAATGCCCGCAGCTGGTGAGCCTTATTGTCGGGTTATTTTGTGTTTTCCTGTGTGACAAATGCAGGAGTGGATCACTGTGCACAGCAGGAGCATGGCTGTGAGCAACTGTGTCTGAACACGGAGGATTCCTACGTCTGCCAGTGCTCGGAAGGCTTCCTCATCAACGAGGACCTCAAGACCTGCTCTAGTAAGCCCCCCCGCTATGCTTCTCTTCTGTGGAAAATCTTTGCAATGGGAGTGAAAAACATGGCCGCCTCAGAGGAGGGTGGTTCAGGGCCCTCCTGGTCCTCTGGCCTTTTCTGTGCTCTGGGGACTGATGGTGGCGGACGTCCGGGGGCTGCATGCCCTTGAGGGGTGGGGGAGCAGACTGCATGACTTTGTGGGGTGAGCGGGGGGAGACAGACAACATGGGGGTCCCTTGATGGCCATCCTCAGGAGCCCAGAGCCTTCAAGCCCATCTCACCTGGCTGTCTGGCTTTGCAGGGGCGGATTATTGCTTGCTGAGCGACCACGGTTGTGAATACGCCTGCGTCAACACAGACCGGTCCTTTGCTTGTCAGTGTCCCGAGGGACATGCGCTCCGAGGGGACGGGAAGACCTGTGCCAGTGAGTGCTCTGGGTCCGGCGACAAGTGGGACTTGGCACAGGCCAGCTGTGGGTAGAGCGCAGAGCCAGGCAGGGTTTTGCTGGGCCTGTGCGAGTGGGCATTAAAGGCCTCGTTCAGTGATTTGAGCCCTAGTGCTTCTCCCCACTGTGGAGTCCCCCTTGTGGGGAAACCGCAGCTCAGGTTGAGTCAGGAGTCTAAGGCTCCCTCTGTTAAAGGAGTGGGTCCCAGCTTTGGTCTGTGGGACTCCATAGAAGTCAGTCTTGGGAGAAGGGGAGGCTCCTGAGAAAACTTCCTTCCCCCAACCACATAATCTGTCAGCAGATGGAGAGGTTGACAGTGATGATTCCTGAGCACATATATCCTTGCAGCTAGCCCCAATTCCTGTTCCATTAATTAATTAATTAATTATCTAAAAAAAGATTTTTAATTTATTTCTTTGACAGAGACAGAGAGAGACAGTGAGAGAGGGAATATAAGCAGGGGGGGAGTGGGAGAGGGAGAATCAGGCTTTCTGCTGAGCAGGGAGCCCGATGTGCAGCTCGATCCCAGAACCATGGGATCATGACCTGAGCCAAAGGCAGATGCTTGATGACTGAGCCACCCAGGCGCCCCCCTGTTCCATTAATTAAAAAAAAAAAAAAAATTGGCCCTTAGATCTCCCTCTCTCACTGGAGAATGTTGTGTTTTCTGCCCTGCACTCCCAGTGGACTAAGGTAAAGACGGAAAAAATAGTTATTTTGACAGAAGGCGTCAAAAATGGAGGGAAAGCGCTACAGTTGTCCTTCCCCCTAGCCTGCTGGTCTTTCTGGTGACAGGGAACTTCCCTGACTGCGGGTACCATAGTGGCCTTTCACATGGGTGGCTGAGCTGCGGTGCGCCCCTCCCTGCAGATGGCGAGATAACGTTTTCCTAGTTAGCGATAGATTCTCGCGGATGGGTCATCCCTGTGTGGCTGGCCTGCGGCTACTGCCACTGGCACGGGGAGGGGGTGGGCGTTGGGGTGCAGAAGGAGGGTGGGCGTGGGGAACTGCATCTGCGTGGGACTGCATGCCAGAGCCAGAGGAATGGTTTTTTATTGGTTTGCTTTAATTTTCCATCATCTTGGATTATTCGTGTCCTTCCTTTGTCTACCCACCCGCACTGACTTCTGCTCCCCCCCGCCCCGCCCCACACCTTACTGTGATTATCAAGAGCCCACTATTAGCTGGCTGGAGGGTGTCTAAGAAATTCTCACAGCCCTTCCCAGCAAACACGGCCCCTTACGGTCTCATGCCCATCCCTCCTCACCCAGGTCCATAGGAGTGAGGCCTCTGACACTTTTAAATGTTGCACCTTTGCCCGTTTAAGTGCAGTGCAATCAGAAGTGAATTTTGATGTGTATCTATTTATATGTGGTTGTGACTCTGAAGGCTTCTTAGATGATCAGATAGGTCAGAATTATCCTCTGAGAATGGTGGTTCCCATTCATAAAGAAATGAATGGGAACTCTTCCCCTAAATGAAGGCTGTCTGTTTGCCCTGGGATGATTCAGCCACCCTGTCCTGTAATAATAGGCTTTGTTTTCAGTGTGGCCATCGTTAACTGGGGGCTATGTTTCCCGGCTCTGTGCCAGTTGACAAAGAGCCTGACGACATGACTCCAACTTTTTGGAACAATCTGCTGTGCTGGGGAAGGGGGGAGCCTGCCACGGGCCAGCCAGGCCCGGCTCAGTGTGTGAGGGTGTCTTTCACTCTTTAGACAGGCGGCCTCCTCTTAGAGCCTTGATAGCAGGTGGCCTGAAGAACACTTCACTCACTTTCCAGAAGGTTCTCTGAAGCATAGAGGGCAGACCCACATTCCCAGGGCCCTGAAACTATGTGGGCATTGTTTTACCCCCATCCACCTGCAGGCACCCTGGGCTCTCCAGCTGCTGGGATGAAGCCTGTCCTCCCTTCTTCATGTCCTTGGCCCCCAAACTGTGATTGTAGGTTCTCCCCAAGAGACTTGCATTGTGGGGTTGATGTGCAGACTTTGGCTACGGTGGGGAGGGGAATGAGGTAGTGTCTTATAGAAGCTGCAGCTGAGAGGCCTCCTCCCCTTCTAGCTCCTGGTGACTTCCCTGAGGTAGACTTTTGCAAGGGCATCCCAGCATCAGTAAAGACTCCGTAGGCTGGATATGCACAGAGCCCACTGTCCACTAGGATGCCAGCTCCTGGGGGTGACACTGAGTCTTGTTCTGAGTTAGAGTTCCCAGGCCTGGCCCACAGGAGATCCTCAACCAAGTTCATCGAGTGAGAGAGTGAATGGTCAGAGACCACCTGTCTTTTTCTCCTGTGGCACCGGGCACAGGCCCTGATCCCTGTGCAGCAGCCTTCAGTGGCTCCCCATTGTCCCCCAAAGAAAGTTCCAGTTGCATTTCTCAACTTGGCAATGTCAGAGAATCCCTTCCTCCACCTCTCGAGCCCCACCCAGGTCTTCCCTGATCCCTCCAGTTCCTCAAGAGAGTAAGTCCCAGTATTCTCTGAGTGGCCACTGTACCTCCAGGCTGTCCTTTCTCCATTTAGCGCCGCCTTCCCTTCCCAGCCTTGCTGGTGGAAACCCCGCCTGTAGACAACATTCCCCATGGAGAACTTCCCGCTGCCAGCCCACTGGGCGTGTCTTCTCTGCCCTCTCACCCCATGCTACCCTTTGCACAGATCTGAGAAATGATGTGCCAGAGTCAAAAGAATACTAAACTAAGAGCCCAGAGACTGGGTTTAAATATTGCTGCTTCCACCCCGGCCAAAAGACTTGACCCTTTCTGGATCAGATTGCTCAACTGTCAACTTGGAATGATGATTTCTGCCTCTCCGTCAGGGTTGCCAAGGGGCACAGGGAGAGACAAATTTGAAATGTTTGGGGGAACTTGTAAACTGCTTTAAACCCTAGCTTTCCTCCCACCGTTAGACTGCCCTGCAGTGAGGCAATGGCTGAGGTAGCACCTTGCCTTAGAGACCTACCTCCTAGGGCTGGGCCTGCTTCCATCGGAGGGGCCGTAGAGATGGGCCACCCCAGGAGAAGTCAGACTCATGAGCCCCAGAGGGTGCTGTCAGACTCTGGCAAGGGCAGGGTGCTGACGGGAATCTGGGCCACAAACCACAGAACACTGGGAATCCTTGTCCAGCCGCTACAGGGAGCCTTCGGGAAGCTGGAAGTCCCAAATCAAGGTGCCGGCATGGTCATGTTCTGATGAGAACCCTCTTCTTGCCTTGCAGATGGCTGCCTTCTTGCTGCATCTTCTCATGGTGGTAGTTGGAGGGCGGGGGGTGGGGGGACAAGAACAAGCTCTAAGGACCCTAATCCCATCATGGGGTCCCCACCTCATCTGTAGCTCATTACTTCCTTACCTCCCAAAGATCTCATTTCCCAAAACCCCCACACTGGGGGGTAGGATTGCAAAGTATGAATTTGGTAGTGGGGAGGTAGACACAATTCAGTCCTTAGCATGGAGTGAGGGGAGAAGACCACCTTCACCCTCAGTGTATTCACATTACAGGAGTAGAAGGAAGCTTCGAGGTCTTCCGTTTCTTTGGTGGGAAACAAGTCCAGGAAGGGAACTGGTGCCTCCAAGCTGGGCCTGAGGGTCAGCGGCACAGTCAGGACCAGAACCTGGGTCCCCTGATTCGGGACCTTGTGCCCAGAGTGAGGTGCCCTCTAAGGGGACGACTCAGCTCAGCCATTTTTGGGGTTGTCTGAGCAAAAGCCATTACAGAGTTAGAGAATGATTAGCTGCTCCTAGTTTTATTATAAGAAACGCCCCCAAATGGTGTAATTCTATCTCCGGGCCCTCATTACCCTCCTGGCAGGCCACGGTGGCTTTCTCCCTCTGGGGCTGGGCTGGTTTTCACAACCTCCTACGTGGAGCCGCAGACACAGGATTGCTGTCTGTCAGCACCACAGAGGTGCGAGACCACGGAACACATGATCCAGCCATGGCCATGCCACAGACATCCGTGACTCATCGGATCTGGAATCTGGATGGGAGCGCCGCCGTCTCCGTCAGCGCGCAGGCCTGTGGGATGTGGGTCCTGAACACCCCTGCTTTGTCCTGAAACCTGTAATCATCCTGATCCCAGATTGTAGATCCCCTTCAAGATGGGGGCTGAAGGGAAGGCATGGACCTGCCTCCTTAAGGATGAAAGGAAGTGCATTCTTCTCCTAGAGGGAAAATGTGTTCTTCCTGCCTCCTGAGATTTTCGTATCTCCTCTGTTTTATTTAAGTGATGTTTCTCGGTAGTTTGTCCTCAGTCTAGACTCTGGATTTGAGTCCAGGCACCTCCTTAAGCTCTCGGTCTGTTTGCTCTCATTCTCCACAGATATTGACCCTGAACTTGCAGTGTGCTGGGCACGTCGTGCCGGGCACTGAGCCTGCCTCCCTGGGGTGGATGCCGGTTCTGTTTCTGCCCTGATGAGAGTTTAAAGTTTCTCAGGGAAGAAGGAAATTAAAAACCTTTCATGTGATATGGGAAGAAGAGGCGCCCCAGGGGTGTGGGGCTGAGGGACCCTCAGCTAGTCTAGAGAAAGTTTCCTGAGAAGGAGATGGTTGATCTGACATCTGGAGATTGAAGGAGTGAGCTAGCCAGAGATGGAGGGTTTGAAGGACTGAGTGTTGCTATCCTCCCAAATTCATATGTTGACATCCTAACTCCCACAGGCGATGATATCAGAAGGTGGGGCTTTGGGGGTTATCAGGTCATGAGCCTGGGGCTCTCCTGAGTGGGATTAGTTGCCTAATAAAGGGGATCCCGCAGAACCCCCCCCCCAGTCCCTTCCACCATGTGAGGGTACAGGGAGAGGTCTCCAGCCTGGAAGAGGTTCCTCACCCAACCATGCTGGCACCTTGATCTCAGATGCCAGCCTCCAGCACCGGAGGCTATAAATTTCTGCTGTTTACCAGCCACCCAGTCTATGGTATTTTGATATAGGAGCCAGAACAGCCTAAGACAGAAGAGGAAGAGCTTCCCAGGCACAGGAAACAGCA